CCCCAAAACCCCAAAACCCCAAAACCCCAAAACCCCAAAGTAGATAAGATTTGTTGAACAACAGCTAAATGTATTTATGTTGCAATGATGGGACTGAATTATTTCTCTTCCTCTATCAAAGGATCCTCATCATCTTCTTCACAAACTCTATAAGCTTGGGCAGCTTGAATTTCTTGGGGTTCTCGAGGCTTATCCTCAATAGCAAGTTGATCCATATATTCTCTTTGAGTTTTTCTGACATTTCTCAATTCTTCCTGTACAGAACTATGGCCTCCATCTTTGAATTCAATAGCGAGATGTTGCATTCCTTCAAATCCACCCATGTTTTCTTTTCCAGTTCTGATCACTCCTGGAAGAGAGAAGTCATCGTTTGAGAATTTCTCATCATTGTGATATCAGACATCAACAAATCTGTCTCCATATTTTCTTCCAATAAGTTCTCTTCTAGCATTTTTAGCTTCTTCAGGCGATACAAATTCTATGTAAGCATTTCCAAATCCTTCCTTTTCGGGGAGATTAGATTTAATGATTGTGAGATCAATATTTTCTTCCTTTTTCTCATCTTCTTCTTCCTTTGGCTGTAAGAATGGGTAATGAGGGATCTTTACTTCAGCAATCATCCCATGCTTATTCATTTCCTTCTTAATGTCTTCTACAAGATTTTCGAAATCCTCCTCATAGGCAAGATATTCGTAAGAAATAATGTCTTTTAAGACCAGAACTCGAGAAGGAAGTTCTACCCTGTACACTTCATTACTGATAGTTCCACCCATAATAGGGTTGATTCTTCCCCCAGTAGTCACATTAAGGACACCCATCTTAGTGAGTACGGGGATTGGCACCTCTTTTTGTTTCTTTTTACCCTCTCCCTCACCTTCCTCTTCACTTTCAATTTTGGGTTCTTCAGGCTTTTTCTTAGTCTTCTTCTTCTCACCTTCCTGTTTGATCATTTTCTTTTCGCCTAGGGGATCGAAGAGGTCTTCTTCAGCATCCAGAACATTCTGAGCATGCTTCTCAGGATTTAGCATACTATCACCCAGCATGAGAGATGAGTTCTTCAGAAGGTTCATTGAATTGAACATCCCACTGTAAGTGTTGGGCCTACCTACCTTCAAAGAATGACCGTGGATACTGATGTTGTTTAAAGCAAATCCCATATTGGCATCTTCAGGATTTTTAAACTCAATAAATGCATAATGACCATCAGATGATATCCATGCTGACAACACAGGATCAATTGTGGAAAATCTACAATTCACTTTTCTAAGAGCAAGGTTAACATAATCTACTAGCTCCTTAGGTTTTATTTTAGGAGGTAGATTTCCGACATATAATTTACACTCAACTCTGGATGCTTGAGCTTTGGTCATTGTTTGGATACTTTCCATGATATTTTGGGCATCAGCCAGTCCTCCACCCACAGCTTTAGCTGCAGCCATAGCATTCATCACATTGTCTTGGTCTTTTGGAGGGGAATCAAATCTATAGGGTCTCTCTGGGCTGATCCTTCTTCTTGGTGGAGGCCTTCTGCTTTTCCTATATTCATCAGAGCTGGACCTTCTCCTGTACTCACTAGAGGAAGATCTTTTACGGTATGAAGGGGATCTTCTCCTGCGTTTTCTTCTTCTCCTGCTATATGAGTCATCACTATAACTGTCATATGAGGAGTTCCTCCTCCTCTTATGTTTCTTTCTAGATTTTCCCATTTCTATTAATTTAAAAATATTATTAATATTCTTGCCAATTTTTAGAAATATACAAGGGGTTTTGGGGTTTTGGGGTTTTGGGGG